CACGTTCTGGATGTTTACCAGAGTAGAATACAAGGAGCTTAATTAAAATTCCATTAAGTAAGCACACAGACAATATTTTCAGTCTTTGGGAATTTGTCGTATTGCCAGAGACACATGCAAACCCTATTCTGCAACAAGTGTCACAGGAAACTTAAAGTACCTGGGATATTCTGGGGTGCATTAGGAAGAGTGTGGGCAGCAGGTCGAGAGAGGTTCTCCTCCCCCTCTGCTCTGCCCTGGTGAGGCCCCATCTGGAGTCCTGTGTCCAGTGCTGGGCTCCCCAGTTCAAGAAAGATGAGGAGCTACTGGAGAGAGTCCAGCGGAGGGCTATGAGGATGAGGAGGGGACTGGAGCATCTCTGCTACAAGGAGAGGCTGAGGGAGCTGGGCTTGTTCAGCCTGGAGAAGAGAAGGCTGAGAGGGGACCTTAGAAATGCCTCTAAATATCTGCAGGGTGGGGGTCAGGAGAATGGGGCCAGACTCTTTCCAGTGACAGGAGAAGGGGCAACGGGCACAAACTGAAGCAGAGGAAGCTCCAGCTGAACATGAGGAAGAACCTCTTACCTCTCAGGGTTGGCCCAGGCTGCCCAGGGAGGCTGTGGAGTCTCCTTCTCTGGAGATATTCCAGCCCCGCCTGGACGCGGTGCTGTGCAGCCTGCTCTGGGTGACCCTGCTTGGGCAGGGGGTTGGGCTGGGTGACCCACAGAGGTCCCTGCCAACCCCGACCAGTCTGTGATTCTGTGATTCTGTGATATTACGTGTGCTGCAAAAATGATAACAAAAAGCTTAATCATTAAATGTAAGCTGTCTAAAGCGATTTACTACCTTGGCAATGGGCTTAAAAACAGCAACCAAGAAGATGATGTGCTTGACGAAAACTATGGAGGCCCTCTCAAAAGTCTGTTGAGTATGCTTATCTTATAGTTGTGTACCTTATGTAAAATACATAAAATAATGCTAGATTGTACTTTCAGGTATCTCAAAAGAAGGGAGGTACCCAGCAGAAGTTATGCTTCGGTCTGACCATTCCAGCTTCTTGAGAAACAGCAAGTTTCAGTTAGAGGAAAGGACACTAAAAATTGGAAAGTACTGTTTAAAGCACGTAGGAAGGGCCAGCACTTGGCTAAGTGTGAAGCAGTACCGAAAAAAGCGTGTGAAAGCTCAAAATCATCGTTTGGCGTCAGCCGTGAAGTAAAACGCTCCCGTCACAGGCTGGGGTGTGTTGGTTGCCTTGTGGTGCCCGCTTCGTGTGGCCGAATCCTGAGTAATCCCGCTGGAAACAGGGCGCTGCTGCCGCCTCCCACACTCGATGCCTCCGGGCTACACGGAGAGGAGCAGGGGGAGAAACCCAGGGCCCTTTAGCAGCAGCTTGGGTATGGTGTGACCTCTCCTGGCTCTGGAAACCGATGTTTAACGGGCCACAGCTTTGTTTTTAATTTTGCTGGCATCAGGGCGGGTTGCCTGCTGACCCGGGAGCATGCCGGCTGCCTGATGATCCTTTGCATTGTTTTACTGTTCCTTGAAACCGTCCAAACAGTTTGGGGTGGCCCTAGCAACCAAACAATGCTGTTGGGCAGAGGTTTCCTCCGGCCCTCGCGCCCCGGTTTCCCACGTAGCGCGAGCGCCCGGGCGAACCAACAAACCGGGTGTTGTCTCGAGGGAGGAGCGGTCAGCGTCCTCGAGCGATTTATCAAAGTAATTTTTTGGTTTTGAACTGGTGCGAGTGGCGTGATTTTTTGGTTCCAGATTTCACCTGAGGTTCTGTAGAATGGTTTTGAAACTTCAAAACAAGGAAGAACTTCAGCCTGAAGAAGAGAAGGCTGCAAGGGGACCTTAGAAATGCTTATAAATATCTGCAGGGTGGGTGTCAGGAGGACAGGGCCAGACTCTTTCCAGTGGTGCCCAGCGACAGGACAAGGGGCAACGGGCACAAACTGAAGCAGAGGAAGCTCCAGATGAACCCGAGA